TCTCTCCCTGTGTTTCTCTCCCTCTCCCTGTGTCTCTCTCTCCCTGTGTCTCTCTCCGTGTCTCTCTCTCTCCCCGTGTCTCTCTCTCTCCCCGTGTCTCTCTCCCCATGTCTCCCCCCCGTGTCTCTCTCCCCCCCGTGTCTCTCTCCCCCCCCCGCGTGTCTCTCTCCGTGTCTCTCTCCCGTGTCTCTCTCTCCCCGTGTCTCTCTCTCCCGTGTCTCTCTCTCCCGTGTCTCTCTCCCCGTGTCTCTCTCCCCCCCGTGTCTCTCTCTCCCCGTGTCCCCCCCCCCCCCGTGTCTCTCTCACGACGTGTCTCTCTCTCCCTGTGTCTCTCTCCCCGTGTCTCTCTCTCTCCCGTGTCTCTCTCCCCGTGTCTCCATCTCCCCGTGTCTCTCTCCCCATGTCTCCCCCCCGTGTCTCTCTCCCCCCCGTGTCTCTCTCCCCCCCCCGCGTGTCTCTCTCCGTGTCTCTCTCCCCCGTGTCTCTCTCCCGTGTCTCTCTCTCCCCGTGTCTCTCTCTCCCGTGTCTCTCTCCGTGTCTCTCTCCCTGTGTCTCTCTCCCCCCGTGTCTCTCTCTCCGTGTCTCTCTCCCCGTGTCTCTCCCTCTCCCGTGTCTCTCTCTCCCCGTGTCTCTCTCTCTCCCCGTGTCTCTCTCCCGTGTCTCTCTCTCTCCCGTGTCTCTCTCTCTCTCGTGTCTCTCTCTCTCCCGTGTCTCTCTCTCCCCGTGTCTCTCTCCCCGTGTCTCTCTCCCCGCGTCTCCCCCCCGTGTCTCTCTCTCTCCCTGTGTTTCTCTCCCTGTGTCTCTCTCTCTCTCCCTGTGTCTCTCTCTCCCTGTGTCTCTCTCCGTGTCTCTCTACGTGTCTCTCTCTCTCCCCGTGTCTCTCTCCCCATGTCTCCCCCCCGTGTCTCTCTCCCTCCCGTGTCTCTCTTCCCCCCCCGCGTGTCTCTCTCCGTGTCTCTCTCCCCCGTGTCTCTCTCCCGTGTCTCTCTCTCCCCGTGTCTCTCTCTCCCGTGTCCCTCTCTCCCGTGTCTCTCTCTCCCCGTGTCTCTCTCCCCCCCGTGTCTCTCTCTCCCCGTGTCCCCCCCCCCCGTGTCTCTCTCACGACGTGTCTCTCTCTCCCCGTGTCTCTCTCTCCCCGTGTCTCTCTCTCTCCCGTGTCTCTCTCCCTGTGTCTCTCTCCCCGTGTCTCTCTCCCCGTGTCTCTCTCTCCCCGTGTCGCTCCCCCCCCCCCCGTGTCTCTCTCTCCCTGTGTCTCTCTCTCTCCGTGTCTCTCTCTCCCTGTGTCTCTCTCTCCCCGTGTCTCTCTCTCTCCGTGTCTCTCTCTCCCCGTGTCTCTCTCTCCCCGTGTCTCTCTCTCCCCGTGTCTCTCTCCCGCCCGTGTCTCTCTCTCCCCGTGTCTCCCCCCCCCGTGTCTCTCTCCCCGTGTCTCTCTCTCCCCGTGTCTCTCTCTCCCCGTGTCTCTCTCCCTGTGTCTCTCTCCCCCGCGTGTCTCTCTCTCCCCGTGTCTCTCTCTCTCCGTGTCTCTCTCTCCCCGTGTGTCTCTCCCCGTGTCTCTCTCTCCCCGTGTCTCTCTCCCCGTGTCTCTCTCTCCCCGTGTCTCTCTCTCCCCGTGTCTCTCTCTCCCCGTGTCTCTCTCCCCGTGTCTCTCTCCCCACGTCTCCCCCCCCGTGTCTCTCTCCCGTGTCTCTCTCCCGTGTCTCTCTCTCCCCGCGTCTCCCCCCCGTGTCTCTCTCTCCCCGTGTCTCTCTCCCCGTGTCTCTCTCCGTGTCTCTCTCTCCCTGTGTTTCTCTCCCTGTGTCTCTCTCTCTCTCCCTGTGTCTCTCTCTCCCTGTGTCTCTCTCCGTGTCTCTCTCTCTCCCCGTGTCTCTCTCCCCATGTCTCCCCCCCGTGTCTCTCTCCCCCCCGTGTCTCTCTCCCCCCCCCGCGTGTCTCTCTCCATGTCTCTCTCCCCCGTGTCTCTCTCCCGTGTCTCTCTCTCCCCGTGTCTCTCTCTCCCGTGTCTCTCTCTCTCCCGTGTCTCTCTCCCTGTGTCTCTCTCCCCGTGTCTCTCTCCCCGTGTCTCTCTCTCCCCGTGTCGCTCCCCCCCCCCCCGTGTCTCTCTCTCCCTGTGTCTCTCTCTCCCCGTGTCTCTCTCTCTCCGTGTCTCTCTCTCCCCGTGTCTCTCTCTCCCCGTGTCTCTCTCTCCCCGTGTCTCTCTCCCCCCCGTGTCTCTCTCTCCCCGTGTCTCTCCCCCCCCCGTGTCTCTCTCCCCGTGTCTCTCTCTCCCCGTGTCTCTCTCTCCCCGTGTCTCTCTCTCCCCGTGTCTCTCTCCCCGTGTCTCTCTCCCCCGCGTGTCTCTCTCTCCCCGTGTCTCTCTCTCCCCGTGTCTCTCTCCCCCCCGTGTCTCTCTCTCCCCGTGTCTCTCTCTCCCCGTGTCTCTCTCCCCGTGTCTCTCTCTCCCCGTGTCTCTCTCTCCCCGTGTCTCTCTCTCCCCATGTGTCTCTCCCCGTGTCTCTCTCTCCCCATGTGTCTCTCCCCGTGTCTCTCTCTCCCCGTGTCTCTCTCCCCGTGTCTCTCTCTCCCCGTGTCTCTCTCTCTCCGTGTCTCTCTCCCCGTGTCTCTCTCTCCCCGTGTCTCTCTCTCCCCGTGTCTCTCTCTCCCCGTGTCTCTCCCCGTGTCTCCCCCCCGTGTCTCTCTCCCCGTGTCTCTCTCTCCCCGTGTCTCTCTCTCCCCGTGTCTCTCTCCCCGTGTCTCTCTCCCTGTGTCTCTCTCCCCCCGTGTCTCTCTCCCCGTGTCTCTCTCCCCGTGTCTCTCTCCCCGTGTCTCTCTCTCCCTGTGTCTCTCTCCCCGTGTCTCTCTCCCCGTGTCTCTCTCTCCGTGTCTCTCTCCCCGTGTCTCTCTCCCCGTGTCTCTCTCCCCGTGTCTCTCTCCCCGTGTCTCTCTCCCTGTGTCGCTCTCCCCCGTGTCTCTCTCTCCGTGTCTCTCTCCCCGTGTCTCTCTCTCTCCCGTGTCTCTCTCTCCCCGTGTCTCTCTCTCTCCCCGTGTCTCGCTCTCCCCGTGTCTCTCTCCCGTGTCTCTCTCTCTCCCGTGTCTCTCTCTCCCCGTGTCTCTCTCTCTCTCGTGTCTCTCTCTCTCCCGTGTCTCTCTCTCCCCGTGTCTCTCTCCCGTGTCTCTCTCTCCCCGCGTCTCCCCCCCGTGTCTCTCTCTCCCCGTGTCTCTCTCCCCGTGTCTCTCTCCGTGTCTCTCTCTCCCTGTGTTTCTCTCCCTCTCCCTGTGTCTCTCTCCCCCGTGTCTCTCTCCCGTGTCTCTCTCTCCCCGTGTCTCTCTCTCCCGTGTCTCTCTCTCCCGTGTCTCTCTCTCCCCGTGTCTCTCTCCCCCCCGTGTCTCTCTCTCCCCGTGTCCCCCCCCCCGTGTCTCTCTCACGACGTGTCTCTCTCTCCCTGTGTCTCTCTCCCCGTGTCTCTCTCTCTCCCGTGTCTCTCTCCCCGTGTCTCCATCTCCCCGTGTCTCTCTCTCTCCCGTGTCTCTCTCCCCCCCCCGCGTGTCTCTCTCTCCCCGCGTCTCCCCCCAGTGTCTCTCTCCATGTCTCTCCTCGTGTCTCTCTCTCCCCCCCGTGTCTCTCTCCCTGTGTCTCTCTCCGTGTCTCTCTCCCCCCCCCCCCCCGTGTCTCTCTCCCCCCGTGTCTCTCTCTCCGTGTCTCTCTCCCCGTGTCTCTCTCTCTCCCGTGTCTCTCTCTCCCCGTGCCCCTCTCTCTCCCCGTGTCTCTCTCCCGTGTCTCTCTCTCTCCCGTGTCTCTCTCTCTCCGTGTCTCTCTCTCTCTCGTGTCTCTCTCTCTCCCGTGTCTCTCTCTCCCCGTGTCTCTCTCCCCGTGTCTCTCTCCCCGCGTCTCCCCCCGTGTCTCTCTCCCGTGTCTCTCTCCCGTGTCTCTCTCTCCCCGCGTCTCCCCCCCGTGTCTCTCTCTCCCCGTGTCTCTCTCCCCGTGTCTCTCCCCGTGTCTCTCTCTCCCTGTGTTTCTCTCCCTGTGTCTCTCTCTCTCCCTGTGTCTCTCTCTCCCTGTGTCTCTCTCCGTGTCTCTCTCTCTCCCCGTGTCTCTCTCTCTCCCCGTGTCTCTCTCCCCATGTCTCCCCCCCGTGTCTCTCTCCCCCCCCCGCGTGTCTCTCTCCGTGTTTCTCTCCCCGTGTCTCTCTCCCGTGTCTCTCTCTCCCCGTGTCTCTCTCTCCCGTGTCTCTCTCTCCCGTGTCTCTCTCTCCCCGTGTCTCTCTCCCCCCCGTGTCTCTCTCTCTCCCCGTGTCCCCCCCCCCGTGTCTCTCTCACGACATGTCTCTCTCCCTGTGTCTCTCTCCCCGTGTCTCTCTCTCTCCCGTGTCTCTCTCCCCGTGTCTCCATCTCCCCGTGTCTCTCTCTCTCCCGTGTCTCTCTCCCCCCCCCGCGTGTCTCTCTCTCCCCGCGTCTCCCCCCTGTGTGTCTCTCTCTCTCTCTCTCCCTGTGTCTCTCTCCCCGTGTCTCTCTCTCTCCCGTGTCTCTCTCCCCGTGTCTCCATCTCCCCGTGTCTCTCTCTCTCCCGTGTCTCTCTCCCCCCCCCCGCGTGTCTCTCTCTCCCCGCGTCTCCCCCCCGTGTCTCTCTCTCTCTCTCTCCCGTGTCTCTCCCCGCGTCTCCCCCCCGTGTCTCTCTCCGTGTCTCTCCCCGTGTCTCTCTCTCCCCCCCGTGTCTCTCTCCCCGTGTCTCTCTCTCTCCGTGTCTCTCTCTCTCCGTGTCTCTCTCTCCCCCCCGTGTCTCTCTCCCCGTGTCTCTCTCTCTCCGTGTCTCTCTCTCCCGTGTCTCTCTCTCCCCGTGTCTCTCCCCGCGTCTCTCTCCCGTGTCTCTCTCTCTCCGTGTCTCTCCCCGTGTCTCTCTCTCCCCCCCGTGTCTCTCTCCCCGTGTCTCTCTCTCTCTCCCGTGTTTCTCTCTCTCCGTGTCTCTCTCTCCCATGTCTCTCTCCCCGCGTCTCTCCCCGTGTCTCTCTCCCGACGTCCCTCGATACCTTCTTCAGGGGCGTTGGCCGCTTGCTTTTGGGGCCTTCTCTCTCCCGCGTCCTCCTCGCCACGCCGAAGGCCTCCTCCTGCGGCTGCAGCGCTCGCGACGGCGACGACGCCGACGCCGACGCCGGCATCGCCGCCGGCATCGCCGCCGGCAACGGCGGTGAAGCTGCGGCGTTGCCGGCGGCGGCGTTGCCGGCGGCGGGCGCTGGAGCGGCCTGCGGTGGCGAGCAGCGGACATCCCAGGGTCGGCCTGGAGAGAGAAACGGGGGTCACGGTGGGTGGGTGGGTTGGTGGGTGGGTTGGTGGGCGGGGTTCACGGTGGGTGGGGTTCACGGTGGGTGGGTCGGTGGGTGGGTCGGTGGGTGGGGTTCATGGTGGGTGGGTCGGTGGGTGGGGTTCATGGTGGGTGGGTTGGTGGGTGGGTTGGTGGGTCGGTTGGTGGGTGGGGTTCATGGTGGGTGGGTTGGTGGGTGGGGTTCATGGTGGGTGGGTTGGTGGGTGGGGTTCATGGCGGGTGGGTTGGTGAGTGGGGTTCACGGTGGGTGGGTTGGTGGGTCGGTTGGTGGGTGGGGTTCATGGTGGGTGGGTTGGTGGGTGGGGTTCACGGTGGGTGGGTTGGTGAGTGGGGTTCACGGTGGGTGGGTTGGTGGGTGGGGTTCACGGTGGGTGGGGTTCACAGTGAATGGGTTGGTTCACGATAGCCGTGTGGGTCGGGTGTCTCTGTGTGTGTGTGTCTCTCTGTGTGTGTCTGTGTGTGTGTGTCTGTGTGTGTGTGTCTCTGTGTGTCTCTCTGTGTGTCTGTCTGTGTGTATGTCTCTCTGTGCGTGTCTCTGTGTGTGTCTCTCTGTGTGTCTCTCCGTGTGTCTGTCTGTGTGTGTACTATCATTAGGGGAAAAAACGGTGATCCAATTTCCGACCCCCAGGAACAGGTTCGCAGATTTGCTGAGCATTTCTGTGAGGTCCTGGGGGAGGGAAAATCCCTCAGCCAGGAAAACATCGTGGCACAAAGTGAGGATGACCCTGCTGAGGTTGCGGTGCCTCAAATATTGGAAGAAGTCACCCCCTGTGAGTGGCTGGCTGAGGTGCCATCTGCTGAGGAAGTATTGAAGGCGATCCGGAGTCTGAGACCAGGAAAGGCAGCGGGCAGAGATGATCTCCCAAGCGAAATGCTGAGGGAGGGTGGCGTTTGTGCACAGACTGCCCTATATGACATCATAACAACAGTCTGGACCACTGGACGGGTTCCGCAGGATTGGAAGGATGCCCTGGTGGTCCCCCTTTTTAAGAAGGGGGACCGCACAGACTGTAACAACTACAGGGGCATCTCACTCCTCAGTGTGCCGGGAAAGGTCCTGGCAAGGATTATTCAGCATCGCCTTGCCAGGCACGCTGAGGAGAGGCTTGCGGAGCCCCAATGCGGTTTCAGGAAAGGGCGGTCCTGCACAGATGCCATATTTTCTGTCCGTCTGCTACAGCAGAGGTGTAGGGAATTCCAACAAGACCTACACCTCTGCTTTATTGACCTGGTCAAGGCCTATGATACCATCAGTAGGCCTGGGCTCTGGGTCGTTCTTCGTGCTTTTGGAGTACCTGACCCTCTGCTCACGATCATTAAGGACCTTCATGATGGTGAGCGGGCCCGGGTAAAACTACGTGGCCGGGAGTCAGAGCCATTCCCTGTACACCTTGGGGTGCGACAGGGATGTCCTCTGGCTCCACGTAGTTCGTGAAGCCTTCAATAGCTGTACCGGGGGAATCTCCATATGGTACAGATATAATGGGAGGCTGATCGATGCCCGGGTGCGGTCAAGGGATGGCTCCCTATTGCTCAACCACGTTATGTATGCTGACGATTTGGTAATAGCTGCTCAGTCAGAGGAGGAGTTGGAGACGCTGCTGCTGAGACTGGAGCGTGCCACTAAGAGGTGGGGCCTTACCATCAGCCCCACCAAAACTAAGCACCTGCCTGGGTATTTTGTACCATCGGACACTCCACCCCCACAACTCCCAATCGGTGATGGGGCAGTTGTGGAGAGTGGAGAGTTTCCCATACCTGGGCAGTGTGCTTATGACTGGCTCCAGTTTAACAGCAGAGGTCTCACTCCGAATCAGTCGAGCGGCAATATCTTTTCATCAGTTGCGTAACGCTGTGTGGAAGCTACCTGGTCTGTCGCTCCGCACTAAGCTTCAGGTCTTCTTGGCCACGGTCATTCCCTCCCTTCTCTACGCTTGCGAAACGTGGACCCCCCTAATGGAACATCTTCGCCGGTTAGAAACATTTAGGCTGGCCTGCCTACGATCCATCCTGGGTTTAACCAGACTGGATTGTGTGAGGAGCTCACAAATCCTTGAAAGATCTGGGCAAGGTCCCATCGGTGAGCTCCTCCGGCGGGCAAGGCTGCGTTGGCTGGGTCATGTAGCCCGCATGCCCAGCCACCGCATGCCGAAACAGCTTTTGTTCGGCCGGATCGAGGGGGCTAAGTGGGCGCGTCACGGGCTAGAGAAGAGATGGAGTGATGTGGTACAGGAGGACGTGGAGCTGAGTGGACTTGCCGATGACTGGTACCAGTGGTGTCAAGATTGGCCTCTGTGGAGGAGGCTCGTGAAGGATGCTGCTGGGCAGTTGGAGGCAGTCGCCCTCCAACAACAACGGAGGGCGGAGGAGCGACGCTCAGAACAACGAGCGGAGCGCCGGGTGGCTAAAGCACAGCAGGTTGGCACAGTAGGGGGCACAGGTGGTGCATCAGCCAGTCATCTCAGTCAGTCGACCTGTGGCACCTGGGTCTGCCCCGTGACCTCCTGCCAGCGGGCGTTCGACACTTCACGTGGCCTCAGGGTGCACATAGCCTGGCACAAGCGTCGTGGTGACGTCACCCCCACTTAGTGGCGAATGGCGGTTGTTGTTGTGAGTAGGTAGATGTGTGTGTGGGTGTGTGGGTGGGTGTGTGGGTGGGTGTGTGTGTGGGTGTGTGGGTGTGTGTGCGAGTGTGTGTGTCTATGTGTGTCTCTATGTGCGTGTGTATGTGTGTGTGTCTCTATGTGTGTGTGTCTCTGTGTGTGTGTGTCTGTGTGTGTGTGTGTCTCTGTGTGTGTCTCTGTGTGTGTCTCTGTGTGTGTCTCTGTGTGTGTCTGTGTGTGTGTGTCTCAGTGTGTGTGTCTCTGTGTCTCTGTGTGTGTCTGTGTGAGTGTCTGTGTGTGTGTCTCTGTGTGTCTGTGTGTCTGTGTGTGTCTGTGTGTGTCTGTGTGTGTCTGTGTGTGTCTCTGTGTGTGTCTCTGTGTGTGTCTCTGTGTGTGTCTCTGTGTGTCTCTCTGTGTGTGTCTCTGTGTGTGTCTCTGTGTGTGTGTCTGTGTGTGTGTCTCTGTGTGTGTGTGTCTCTGTGTGTGTGTCTGTGTGTGTGTCTCTGTGTGTGTCTGTGTGTCTCTGTGTGTGTCTCTGTGTGTGTCTCTGTGTGTGTCTCTGTGTGTGTCTCTGTGTGTGTCTCTGTGTGTGTCTCTGTGTGTGTCTCTGTGTGCCTCTGTGTGTCTGTGTGTGTCTGTGTGTGTCTCTGTGTGTGTCTCTGTGTGTGTCTCTGTGTGTGTCTGTGTGTGTCTCTGTGTGTGTCTCTGTGTGTGTCTCTGTGTGTCTCTGTGTGTCTCTGTGTGTGTGTGTCTCTGTCTCTGTGTGTGTCTCTGTGTGTGTGTGTCTCTGTGTGTGTCTCTGTGTGTCTCTCTGTGTGTGTCTCTCTGTCTGTGTGTGTGTGTGTCGGTGTGTGTCTCTGTGTCTGTGTGTCTCTGTGTGTGTCTCCGCTACCCGTGTGAGTGAGGTTCCGTGAGCGGAGACTCCTCTGTTGTGTCTCCAGCGCGTACAGCATGTCTCCCAGGTCCAGCGCCACCGGGACACACGGAGCCACGGACGACACCTTACTCCGTGAGAGCGTCGCCTTCCTCAGCGTCTCCTGCGGAGGACACACACACAGAGACACACACAGAGACACACACACAGACACACACACACACAGACACACACAGAGACACACAGACACACACAGACACACACAGACACACACAGACACACACAGACACACACACACAGACACACACACACACAGACACACACACAGAGACACACACAGACACACACACACACACCAGGAGGAAGACCTTTAGAGTCTAGGCAGACTAACACACGGAGGCTGAGATGCACAGCTTCCATTCCTTCGGTGGCTGTTTGACCCCACCACCAACACCCACCACTCCCCCCCCCACCATTCATCCCACCACTCCCCACACCATTCATCCCACCACTCCCCCCCCCCACCATTCATCCCACCACTCCCCACACCATTCATCCCACCACTCCCTCCCCCCCCACCATTCATCCCACCACTCCCCACAATTCACCACCACTCCCCTCCCCCCCACCGACACCACCCCAACATCCCCCCCACCCACCCCACCCACCCCACCCACCACTCCGCCCACTAGCCACCCCCCCACCCACCCACACCCCCCACCACCACCCCACCCACCCCACGCACACAACCCCCCACCCACCCCCTCCACCTCACCTCCCCCACCCACTCCCTTTCACACCGTCCCCCCCACCACCACCCCCACCCCCCACCCACCCCCACCACCCCCACCCACCCCCCACCACCACCACCCACCACCCCCCACCTGTATCTTGTGCTGCTCCCGTGCCATGCCTGCGTACTCTGTGCGCGTGGCGATGGCCGCCGCCTCGGCCTTCCTGCGCTGGCTCTTAGCCCTCTTGGGCGTCGCCACGGTGACGGGGATGGGGGTCCGGATCACCGAGATGGGGCAGGAGGAGTCAGAGTCGTCGCCGGGGGCAACCGCCCCCCCCTCGGCGGCGACGCCCCGCCCATCGCCCCGCCCATCGCCCCGCCCCTCGCCCCGCCCCTCGCCCCGCCCCTCGCCCCGCCCCCCGCCCCGCCCCCCGCCCTCCCGGTCCTCGTCGTCGTCGTCGGCGGCGATGACGTCATCGGCGGCGGCGACGTCGTCGTCGTCGTCGCGGCGACGGAGGTTGCCGCGGCAACCGCCGTCGCCGCGGCCGCCGCGGGGGGCCGCGGGTGTGCAGCCAAAACCCTGAAGGGTGGGGGGGGGGGGGGGGGGGTGGGGTGGGGGTGGGGGTGGGGTGGGGTGGGGGGTGGGGTGAGTGGGGTGGGTGGGGTGGGGTTGGGGGGAGTGGTGGTGTGGTGGTGGTGTGGTGGTGGTGGTGTGTAGTGTGGTGTGTGTAGTGTGTGTAGTGTGGTGTGTGTAGTGTGGTGGTGGTGGTGTGGTGGTGGTGTGGTGGTGGTTTGGTGGTGGTGGTGGTGTGGTGGTGGTGGTGTGTAGTGTGGTGTGTGTAGTGTGGTGGTGGTGTGTGTGGAGGTGGTGGTGGGGTGGTGGTGGTGTGTAGTGTGGTGGTGGTGTGTGTAGTGGTAGTGTGTAGTGTGGTGGTGTGTGTGTAGTGTGTGTGGTGGTGTGTGTGTAGTGGTAGTGTGTAGTGTGTGTGGTGGTGGTGTGTAGTGTGGTGGTGGTGTGTGTGGTGGTGGTGTGTGTGGTGGTGGTGTGTAGTGTGGTGGTGGTGTGTGTGGTGGTGGTGTGTGTGGTGGTGGTGTGTAGTGTGGTGGTGGTGTGTGTGGTGGTGGTGTGTGTGGTGGTGGTGTGTAGTGTGGTGGTGGTGTGTGTGTAGCGTGTGTGGTGGTGTGTGTGTAGTGTGGTGGTGTGTAGTGTGGTGGTGGTGTGTGGAGGTGGTGGTGTGTGGTGGTGGTGGTGTGTAGTGTGGTGGTGGTGTGTAGTGTGGTGGTGGTGTGGTGGTGGTGTGTGTGTGTAGTGTGTGTAGTGTGGTGGTGGTGTGTGTGTAGCGTGTGTGGTGGTGTGTGTGTAGTGTGTGTAGTGTGGTGTGTGTGTAGTGTGGTGGTGTGTAGTTGGTGGTGGTGGTGGTGTGTGTGTAGTTTGTGGTGGTGGTGTTGGGGTGTTCACAATGTCCGCGTCTCACCTGCGAGGGCACCCGGGGTCTATAGGGGGATAGGTTCCCTCCTCGTCCAATCAGATGCCTCCCCTGAGCTCGCCTGTAACCTCCGACCCCAGCAGGTCCCAGCATGCCTTGCGGCTCTATCAGACAAACACAGCGGTCAGCAAAAGACACGCGGGAAGTTTCCCACGCTGCCCGCGGGGAAAATAATTGTCAAAACTTATCTTAAAAACATATAACATATACACACACAAATACTAGTTATACTAGTAGTTATACTACTTACTAGTAGTTATACTAGTTATACTATTTACTAGTAGTTATACTAGTTATACTACTTACTAGTAGTTATACTAGTTATACCACTTACTAGTAGTTATACTAGTTTGACTACTTACTAGTAGTTATACTAGTTTGACTACTTACTAGCAGTTATACTAGTTAGACTACTTACTAGTAGTTATACCAGTTAGACTACTTACTAGTAGTTATACCAGTTAGACTACTTACTAGTAATTATACTAGTTATACTACTTACTAGTAGTTACACTAGTTGTACTACTTACTAGTAGTTATACTAGTTGTACTACTTACTAGTAGTTATACTACTTACTAGTAGTTATACTAGTTATACTATTTACTAGTAGTTATACTAGTTAGACTACTTACTAGTAGTTATACTAGTTAGACTACTTACTAGTAGTTATACTAGTTATACCACTTACTAGTAGTTATACTAGTTAGACTACTTACTAGTAGTTATACTACTTACTAGTAGTTATACTAGTAGTTATACTACTTACTAGTAGTTATACTACTTACTGGTAGTTATACTAGTTATACTACTTACTAGTAGTTATACTACTTACTAGTAGTTATACTACTTACTAGTAGTTATACTAGTAGTTATACTACTTACTAGTAGTTATACTAGTTATACTAGTAGTTATACTACTTACTAGTAGTATAACTACTTACTAGTAGTATAACCAATTATACTAGTAGTTATACTACTTACTAGTAGTTATACTAATAGTTATACTACTTACTAGTAGTTATACTAGTAGTTATACTAGTTATACTAGTAGTTATACTACTTACTAGTAGTTATACTAGTTATACTAGTTGCTAATGGGTCTCTGTGATGAGTCTATGGGTCTATGTGTGGTGAGTCTATGGGTCTCTGTGTGTGATGAGTCTGTGGGTCTCTGTGTAATGAGTCTATGGGTCTATGTGTGATGAGTCTGTGGGTCTCTGTGTGGTGAGTCTGTGGGTCTCTGTGTGGTGAGTCTATGGGTCTCTGTGTGGTGAGTCCGTGGGTCTCTGTGTGGTGAGTCCGTGGGTCTCTGTGTGGTGAGTCCGTGGGTCTCTGTGTGGTGAGTCTGTGGGTCTCTGTGTGGTGAGTATATGGGTCTCTGTGTGGTGAGTCTATGGGTCTCTGTGTGGCGAGTCTATGGGTCTCTGTGTGGTGAGTCTGTGGGTCTGTGGGTAATGAGTCTATGGGTCTCTGTGTGGTGAGTCTATGGGTCTCTGTGTGGCGAGTCTATGGGTCTCTGTGTGGTGAGTCTATGGGTCTCTGTATGGTGAGTCTGTGGGTCTCTGTGTGGTGAGTCTATGGGTCTATGTGTGGCGAGTCTATGGGTCTCTGTGTGGTGAGTCTATGGGTCTCTGTGTGGCGAGTCTATGGGTCTCTGTGTGGTGAGTCTGTGGGTCTCTGTGTGGCGAGTCTATGGGTCTCTGTGTGGCGAGTCTATGGGTCTCTGTGTAATGAGTCTATGGGTCTCTGTGTGGTGAGTCTATGGGTCTCTGTGCAATGAGTCTATGGGTCTCTGTGTGGCAAGTCTATGGGTCTCTGTGTAGTGAGTCTGTGGGTCTCTGTGTGGTGAGTCTGGGTCTCTGTGTGGTGAGTCTATGGGTCTCTGTATGGTGAGTCTATGGGTCTCTGTGTGGTGAGTCTGTGGGTCTCTGTGTGGTAAGTCTGTGGGTCTCTGTGTGGTGAGTCTGTGGGTCTCTGTGTGGTGAGTCTATGGGTCTATGTGTGGCGAGTCTATGGGTCTCTGTGTGGTGAGTCTATGGGTCTCTGTGTGGTGAGTCTATGGGTCTCTGTGTGGTGAGTCTGTGGGTCTCTGTGTGGCAAGTCTATGGGTCTCTGTGTGGTGAGTTTGTGGGTCTCTGTGTGGTGAGTCTGTGGGTCTCTGTGGTGAGTCTATGGGTCTATGTGTGGCGAGTCTATGGGTATCTAGACAAAGATCCCCCGTGTAGCCTTATCAGACTGTAGGGGCAAGTGCTGTTAGCGAGCACCTATGAAGACCGGCACGGCACACGAGGGGGTGGGTGGCCAGCACCACGCCCGGCCGCCTTTGTCTCCCCAGTGGCGATGTTTACTGCACCACCGCTATACCAGGTACTCATTTGAGGCTGAGTCGACCTAGGGGAGGCCCAGGACCGGTTCAGATAATCATCGTCGTGGGCAGGAATCGAACTCGGGTCGCCGGGTTCGTAGCGCGGCGTAGCGCTAACCACTACACTACCGCTCCCCACACACACACACAGATACACACAGATACACACACACACACACAGATACACACACACACACAGACACACAGACACTCACACAGATACACACACAGATACAGACACACACACGTACGCACACACAAACACACGTACGCACACACACACACGCACGTACACACACACGCACGTACACACACACACACGCACGTACACACACACGCACGTACACACACACACACGTACGTACACACACACACGTACACACACACACGTACACACACACACGGCGCACGCACGCACACGTACATGTGCACGTACGCACACACGAACACGTACACACGTACACACACACACACACGTACACATGCACGTACACACGCACACACGTACACACGCACGTACACACACACACACGTACACACACACACACGTACACATGCACGTACACACGCACACACGTACACACGCACGTACACACACACACACGTACACACACACACACGTACACACACACACACGTACACATGCACGTACACACGCACACACGTACACACGCACGTACACACGCACACACACGTACACACGCTCGTACACACGTACACACACACACACACGTACACACACACACACGTACACACACACACACGTACACACACACACGTACACATGCACGTACACACGTATGCACGTACACACGCACGTACACATGCACGTACGCACACACATACACATGCACATACACACACACACACACGTACACATGCACGTACACACGCACGTGCACACACACGTACGTACAGATGCACGTATACACACACACGTGCACACACACGTATGTACAGATGCACGTATACACACACGTACGTACACATACACGTACACACACATGCAAGTACACACACACATGCAAGTGCACACATGCAAGTACACACACACACGTGCAAGTGCACACACGCAAGTACACACACACACGTACACATACACACACACGTACGTACACATACACACACACGTACGTACACATACACACACAAGTACACACACACACGTACGCACGGACGTACACACACACGCACGTACACACACACGCGTACACACACACACGTACACACACACACGTACGCACACACACACGTACACACACGTACGCACACACACGTACACACACACGTACGTACACACACGTACGTACACACACACAAGTACGTACACACACGTACGTACACACACACACACGTACACACGCACACGTACGTACGTACACACGCACACGTACGTACACACACACGCACACGTACGTACACACACGTACACACACACGTACGTACACACACACGTACGTACACACACACGTACGTACACACACGTACACACACACGTACGTACACACACACGTA